GTGAGTGATGAAAATTTCGACGATGCCCATCCAACAATGCCAGTTTACTGGGGGGACCGAAACGGAATTTAATTTTGTGCGAGACTTGAGCAACTCACACACAGAAGGACATGGTTGTCATCGGCGCTGCTGCATCAGCTGTCCCTCAACATCGACATTGGGCCGGCTGATAAAACCCAATTTGTTGCAAATAAAATAAAAAACAAAGCAGGCAAGCAAATGGACACAAGGAGCTCCACTTGCTGCACCATCAGCAGGAGCAATTGAGCAAATTCATTGCAAATTGCCACTCGACGTTGGCTGGTGTTCGAGAAATGGGAATCATCGTCGGATGCAGTGGGTTGCAACTTGCAACTGCATCCAACGATCGATGCCGAAATTAGAAACTGGCAAACGCATTTCGCATAATTTCAGAGCGAGGAGGAGGTGGCCTCCTCTTTGCTGTGCTCACAATTCGTTTATGCAAAGTCTGCCCTGCTGCGGGGGAGTCAGACAATCAGCTTACCCACTCAAAGATAAATCTATATATACATAAGAATATTTTTTCCATTTCAAACAGGTAATCGATTTTCATGCTTGTGGCGAAATGTACAAAAAGAACTGAAACGAACCCAAATGTAAACCAACTTTGTTGTCTGTTTCGTTTGTTTTCATTCTTATGTGTTTTCCCTCGGCATCTGGATTTGGGTTTCGACGACCATACCACCACCTTATTCTTATGCCATGTGCGTGTGTGAGTAGGTGGGTATCCGGTGCGTATACTTGATATTTATGTTGAAAACTTAAAGCAGTTAAGAGCTCGTCGTGCTTAAAATATTCCATCGGTGTCTGACAGCCAAGTTTATCCAACTTGTTGATTTACTTTTCGCCCCACTTTCCGGGGCCAAAGTTAAACCACATCAGTGTTTCCGCTCCTCCCTGCCATTTAAAGTGAGACCTGCCTGGAATAATCACGTTTCGAGATCGTGTTTTGCTTTTGATCTTTTCGGTGATTTGCATAACGAAAAAATCCACTTTTCACAGGGTACTATCACAATCCAATCAATGCCAATATTCCATCTCCATTTTATAGTTTCCTAAACATGTGAATTTTCCTCTATCTCGCCAAAAATGAAATCAATCATAACCTTCATCTCCAATTTATAGTTTATCGTTATACCTTGAGCGATAAAAATTAGACGCTTTTCCAAGATTAAATTTTCCTCATACGACTTGTTAGTTCCTCAATTGAGCCCTTTAAACCATCTGCAAACGCCTAAAATTATTCAGTGATTCCTCAAGCACTTTTAAATCTGAATACCAGGTATGGGTGCATACTTTTCGAATTTGTAATCTGCCGAAAAATATTCAAGAGTGCAAAAGTGCACATGTGCCCAACTTGGGGGCGACAAAGGCAAGAAAGAATCCAATTACGTGGGCCACTGGAATATTTTTGACAAGTATTCAATGAATTTCATTCGAGATTTGTGGCACCAGCCAGCCAGACTTTCGCCAGACAGCCGTTCGCAGGCAGGAAACGAATTAGAAATGTGTAAAACAGAAGTTGCTCCACAGCCGCAGTTGGTCAGGATAGCACCGGATAGCTCCTGAGGAGCCAAGTGAGACGTGAAAAATATTCCTCTTTTTTGCGGATCCACAGGATGGGAATCGGGCACTGAGCCCTGAACTGAACTCAATCCCCCGATCCCCCTGCCTGGCCGGAAAAGGAAAATGATTTCCGGCTTGGGCCGGGCTGGGGTGATAATTCTGCGGGATCCGAGAACTTTTTACATGCAATCATTGGGCGGATTGTCAGTTAACTCGCAGCTGGCACTGCAACTTCAACTGCAACCAATTCATCTCATCGAATTATGGCCACATTCCCGGGCTCCAGTTATCCCTCATTGCATCTACATAATTTTGGACATTATTCTCTTTCTCGCCACCGAAAAAGTTTTAGCTCGAATCGAGAGTGAGAAAAAAGTAGCTTTGTCAAAATGTTTGCACAAACTTCTGGCAGAACAGAACTCGTTGCGAAACGAGCTGAAGAAGTGCAAAAAATTATCACTATTGTTGCAGATTTGTTAGGTGACGGTGAAATTTGTTTTCGTTGCTTTCTCCCCTGTTGTTTTTGATGGAGGTGTTGGTGGCACTGATAGCAATTCTCATTTCGTTGATATCAACAGTGGTGTCCCCTCGTATCTGTCTAGTCGTGCGTATAAAATACAAAAAGGGTCAACTCAACCGAGAAAGTTTCATGAATTTTCATTCGAAAAAGCAGGACAAGGCCGTCAGGTGTTTGCTGGGTCAAGAAAAATCTCTTAAAGCAGCATTTGATTTTTCCTTAATTTGGTATGCAAGTCTTACAACTAGATACTTAATATAGTTATAGAAATACAAATATTCTAGTTAGTTTGTATACTTAAATATACAAAATCGAGTTCTTTAATTGCCTTCGAGTAGTTGTGGTTTTCTCAAGATTTATCCTCCAAATTCATAAGAATGTACCAAATATTCAGTTAGTTTATATACTTAAGATACAAATGGAGTTCCTAATTGCTTTTGAGTAGTGGGGGTTTTCTCAAGACTTGTCTGCCAAATTCATAAGAATGTAACCTTTTTTAACTCAAACCATTTTACCTATATTACTGGCCCCGAGCTTTATCCTCGATTAACAGACTCGTGGCAAACTTTTCTCCTGACAAATTATATTTAAATGAGCTGCATTTGAAAAGTTAACGGTGAATGGTGCCCAAAGCAAATGTCACAAAATTGACAGGATCCTCGGAAGCAAGAAAGAAAAAAAGAACTGACTCAAGACGGCAAATTAAATATGCCAAAAGGCAAGGGCGAAATCCGAGCCGGCCAAAAGAACACAAAACTTTTGGCTTACAAACATTCCTAAACTCTTCAGTCCCCTCCCCCGACCTCCAACCCCCAAAAATTTGCCCCCTGAACCCAACCAATGTCCGAAGATGGCGAAATCCGTTGCTTAAACGGCTAGAGGGCCCGAAGCCAAATGCTTTGGCGGCAACTTTAAGTCGCATTTGGTTTCCTAATGCGGCTCAGACTTTCCCATACTTCCCAGGCCACTAAAAAAGCGCGTGGGGCAAATTGAAATGAAATTGAATTTAGCTAGGGGTTGGCTGGGAAGCAGAAAAAGTTGACGCGGGTGTGGCAGTTTTATTTACAACTATTCCTCATGTGATGTGATGCTGGGAAAATGCAAAAGAGTTTAATTTGCAATTTGTCGCCCTCATTCAACGCTTAACTTTTCACTCGGGCGGTGTTTGTGGTTGCATATGCAAATGCCTTGGCCAGCTAACCCTCAACCCCCAACCTTCCAACCCACTAACCCTCACCTTTCCCCAAACCCCTCGAAACGGAATGGCCCGCAGCCCTGCATATGCGATAAAATGTACAAGTTTTGCGTTAAGGCCCCACTTGAGTTGGGCTCGGAGTTGTTGCCGCTGGCAAGTGCCCCAGCCAGCCACACTGAGAAAAATTGTATTAAAAAATAAATACATGCAAATTAACATAAAGAAAAATCATATACAACAGAAAAAGAAATAGCTGCAGGATTTAATTTAAATATTAAGACGACAATATACTTTGTTATTATCTAGTCATCTTTACTTTAAACATTTATCAGCATTAAAAATTAATTTCATGTTAAAATCAAAGTTAAAATCTTAAGTATAACTATTAATTTAAAATTCCATATGTACAATGAATAAAATCGGGAGAAATACTTGAACTGTATATAAAATCTTTGGATTCCTACTTTTGTTGAAGTGCTGCCTGGCCTGCCAGTTTGTTAAACGCCTTTCAACGGCGTGGTTAGCCAAGCGCAGACCTTGAAATGCCATATAGTCCTGGCCAGAAGCTAAAGCTGGTAGATGGTACTGGTAACTGGTAGCTGGTAGTTGGTAGTACATGGTAGCTGAAGCCACTCGAGCAGCTAACCAGCCGGAGCAAACTTTTCTGCGGCAAACGCTTTAAAAAACCATTCCGCAAAAGTCATTCCGTAAGTTGGTCCTGCATCCTGGGCACTCACACACAGTCGCACATGTTGATTTAGCAAACAAAATGTTTTAATTGAATAACACTTTGGTGTTTCACTACCACTGCTTACTGGCAAGTTCAAGTGCCTCGCTGGCCAACTGTGCGTATGCTCGATGTTAAGCCCTGCACTGCTGCTCAGTTAAATAACTATTTAATGGGTGTGACTTTATCAATCAAATTTGCCGCGAGCGGGGAATTAAAATTAATCTGCAATTTTCATTAACGAAAATTCGCCAAATATTTACTCACACTCAATTCACACCCACTTGCGCCCCGGAGAGTGTGAACTTAGCCATGCAAATTGAATAGGTCTAAATGCAATTTGGCGCACAACAAAAAGAAATTGGCGGATGGAAAAATACAAACATAAATGTGCAAAACATTTTGGTAATTTAGTTGAGCGATTTGCATTTCCGTTGGGGAATAATTTCTGCACTTTTGTGCTCACTGACTGCCCAAATTGAATTGCTGAATAACAAAAAGGCGGCAGGATGCATATGAAATTTGAGTATGGTATATGCAATACACCATATACGATATATGAATTTAATTAAATGCCGTTGAATACGAAAACATTTTGCTTAAATTGTCACACGCGCAGAGCAGCATCAGAATTTGCATTGATTGATGCCGTATTCGGTGATTTATTGAACCTGAGGTTTGTCAGCCAAACAATCCGCACCCTTCGCCCGTTCAATTATTGTGATTGTCAGTCGGTAATGTTGGGGGGAATGTTCTGCACAATGCATATTTATTTAGCCGGGTTTCATTTTGTATTTCTTGGAACCGCAGTGATTGATGTGGCCATGTTATCATCCCCAATCCCCAAACAACTGTGACTGGGACTGCGACTGTGACTGCACTCTCACCCCGGGCCTTTGTTCCCTGACATGTCATGTCACTATGGCTCCCCGCTCATATGTTGTATTTGGTCAAAAACTCAATTTAAATTGCATTTGTGTTCACAGCGCATCTGTCAGTGCGGCATGTGTCGGATGTCAACGGGGATCCCTTTATTCGAACAACTATTAGTTAAATGAATTTGTGCAAACATTAGTTATCGATGGAGTTGCCCAAGGTCTCGCTGGAGTCGTCATCCTCCTCATCACCGTCGGAATCGAAGGCGTTCTCGGGTATATCATACAGACGAACCATTGGCTTATTCGGATCCTTCATGATCAGGAACTTGCCATCCGGCTGCTTCATCACAATGTCGATGAGGCAGCGCAGTACACCCCAGGCATTGTCCATTTCAGGTTGATCTGTGTGGCGAATTCCTGTGGCTTGAACTGCTGAGTGCCCAGGATCACGTGGCGCAGATGATCCCGTGGATTCACCCGAGACACATAGCCCAGTTTGAGCTGATCGGAGCCAGCTAGCACAGCCTCCACAGTCCAGCGAGCCAGTTTGCAAGCGTTATTCCTCAGCTCGGAGGCCAAAACAGCTCCGCGCTGGGTGTCCAACTTCTGGCGCCACTCCACGCTGTTGGTCACCTTGGAGTCCCACTCGTTCAGCGCCTTGATCGAGAGGAACTGCATCTCGCCATTCGGACCCTGGACAACCCCGTTGTGCTTGCAGCGGGCAATCAACACCAAGTCGTTGCCCAGATCCCACTGGCGGTAGCGGTAGCCCATGGAGGCTAGTTCCACACCAGCTTCCTCGAAGGGATTGGGCTCATCGAACTTGTAACGCGGCTCCTGGTCGCCAACGCGAAGTACCTTAAAAAATTGAATGTAAGTAATGAAATTAATTAACTAAACTATCCTTGGAATTATTTAAAGAAAATCAAACATACCTGCTGACTGAAATTATGGTTGATAAGAGTGGCCTCCATGGCCAAACTATGGACCGAGTTGATGGAACCCTCCTCATCCAATGGTGGCTCCTGCGAAGTCTCGTTGACGGTCAGCAAATCGAATTGCGTGTTATCCCTTTTGTCCAGAAACACCTTGGTGCCCAGCTTCTCGATGACCACATCCCAGGAGTAGTTCGAACGCGTGCAGCACATGATGGTGGCCAGGATCTCGTCGGTGGCGAAGATATTGCCCATGGTCTTGGAGAGGCGACGGATAACGGGGTCATCTGTGGTCGTGGCAGTGTGGACAACGCGATCCATCTTAAGTAAAGGTTCTCATTGCGCAGATTAACCCGATCATAGAGCTTATCATAGTACTCCAGGGACCCACAGTGACGATGTCTGGCCCTCTTTGATATTGGGAAGTGCGAGTTTAGGAGGCGGGGAAGTCGATCTCCTCGATGGAAACCCAATTGGAGCGCACCATCACGGAGCTCTCGCGAAGTCTGGAGGGAGCATTACGGCCGAAACGGCGACCCACAGTGCGGCGTGTTTCGCGGCCCGTTTTTCCATACTTGGTGCTGTTGCTCGTACCGCCCCAGCAGAGGGTCCGCCAGCCGCGCCCATAGCGGCGTTGCCACGCCCCCGCGACCCCTGCCCCGCGCATTGTTGCGCATATTCGGGCGGTAGCGACCCCGCTGATAGGGTCTGAAGGCCTTCGATCCGGAGTTGTCCACCAGGTGGAAGGTGGAGTCGTCGTCCTCATGGAAGTACGCATACTGGCTGCTGTTCCCAAAGGACGAGGCATACTTACTCGGGAACTTCTTCTCGGCATGTCACCGTCCAGTCGCAGATCTTGCCGATCCGGTCGCTCTTGCAAAACGGCTGGTAGGGCACATCCACATCCGGCACCTCACAAGGACCCCAGCCGTGTTCGTTGTACTGCACGTACGGTTTGATGAACGGAGCGTAGTTGGACATAGCACTGCCGTAAGCGATTTATGCAACCAAAAAAAAAGGTATATCAATTTATGTGTAATTAAAATCCCGATCTGTCTCTGAACGGTAAAAATTACACTGAGCTGATTTCGTTTTTCGGAGGTCAGGTGGATTTGACAGGTCGGCAAAACGAAAAGGCTACTTGTTCTCTAGATTTTTTAGCTAAACTTGTAAAACAGAGTTGTCATCTTTTTAAATTTTCTAATTAACTTGTATAGCAGAGTTGTCATCTTATTTTTTAAAGAGTCAAGGCAACTCTGTAGCACTCCACAGCACGAACTATTTACTTTGCAAACAAATAAAAATAAATATATTAATAAATAATTATAAAATTAATAATTTGTTAACTAACAGTAACCTTTTTTAACCTCAGGAGTTTCAGAGTTACAGTCATATTGCACAACAAATATACTGCTGACAAGTAAGACGCATGGAGAATGAATTGGAAGAGGACGCCTGCCCCCCAGATGATGATGAGGCCCCCTGTACCGCGACCGCAATGAAGAAATGTGTAATTGCCTGTTCGTCTTTCGGTTCTCCATCAATGTCCTGCTGCTCTCCCTGGCCGCGATTGTCCTCCTCCTTCGCATACTGAGCTGATCCGGGATGGGGTCAGGAGACCCCTCCGAACCGATAAATTTCTGTTTCTTATTATCTTTTTTAAAAAAACCTTTACGAAACGCACTAATAAATGTTTGTTGAGCTGTGGAAATGGTACAGGAAGCGGAGGCACTGTGACGGGATTATCACTTGACAACGCACCTAAGCTCACATCGACATGGCTCCATTCATATTACTCCAACTGGGTGCCATTGTTCCGGGTGTTGGTTTCAGGAAAGCAAAGGAACAACAGCCGAGTGCACTACAATGGAGCGAGTGAGTGTCCTGTGTGCAGGATCTGGTCAACAGCCAGGCCCCCGTTCCGGCTCGGTTTCCTTATTCTTGGCTGGGAGCACCTTACAACAATCTCGTTAAGCGTAAAGGCCAAATTATAGTAAAACTAACAGAAGGCAAAAGGTAATCACATAAAAAGCTTGTTAGATAACAACGTGCGAGGCGGCGAAAAAGGAAGCGGACATCCTGCCCCCCGGCTCATCCCCAAAAAGCAACATGTCGAGCGTGTGAATGTGCCTGGATGTGTGGAAAATGATATGGGGGAGTGGTTGGGAGGACTGAATGTGGATGGGCGTAGGTGGGTGTAGGTGGGTGTGCATTTGTGGCTCCCAGATCCTGAGCTAAGCTTTGTCAAGCGACAGGGTGTCATGTTGATGTGTGTGTCACTGGCAGCTGCTGCTTACATGGCCCAGCTCCAGATTCCCTCGCACTTCTCGGTTAATATACAGGAAAAAAAACAGGTGAGTTAACTAAAGGCAATCGCATATTTGAAGATGCATATAGAATATTACAAAGATCGTATATGTAAACGATTATACGTTTTTTTTTAATTTGTATATTTTGTTATCCGACTAAATGTCTGTATATTCATCAACGAAAGCATTATTGGTATTATTTTTTTTCTGTGTACTGAACAGAACTTAACAAAACTCAGAGCTTAGAAAAGAACATTTTTTGTATTTGACAATTCAGATTCTTCCAAATGGAATTGTATTCATTCTTGTATTATATGCCTTTGTGCCAGCTTTATTAACTTGGGTTATATTTTCTCCCAGTGCAGACTTAAGCCGGGGATGAGTGTGTGGCGGCTGTTTGCGTCTCTGAGAGTGTGTGTGTGTGGATTATAATTGCCATGCGGCTGTCAGTGACTGCAGGCGGCGCCTAACTGCACACAGCTGCAGATGTACGGCTCGTGTTGCAATATCATTTTTAATGCAAACCGCATGCCACATTATGCAGCTGCATTGCCACGTCACCGCTGCGGTTGCCCCGCCCCTGCCCCAGCCCCTTTTTCCCTAGATTCCCTCTCCCCATCTCATCCCTCTCATCTTGAACTCATCTGCAATCGCTCCTGCTGCTGAAGCTTTTCAACTGCCGCCCATGGTAGGAAAAAGCGGCAGCGGTTTAGCAAAGGAACAGAGCCAAGAATAATGCCCTGGCACATAAGTAAGTACTTACCCGGCGAACAAAAGCAACAAGAACAACAATGGCAACAACAACTACTATACTACTACTACTATGTGCTGCCAACAAAAATAACAACAGGAGAAGCAAAGTGAAAAACCACTAGCATACTTTGCGGAGCTCGCGAGCGATAAACGACGCCATTGCCACCCGCCACACACCCCATCCCCATCCTGCCCCAAAGGGTATGCCATACTATATGGGCGATCCAAGTGAAAGCGAAATTAAAAACACATTTTCCCAGCACAATTTATTTTTTAAATTACTACGAATTAAGGCACACGTCTGATGGTATTTTGCAGTTTTATGACCACAGATATTGATAAGAAAACGTAAGTGATTTCATTGAAACGAAGGGATGCCATGCTACATACGGATTTATTGATAGCCAAGTAAATCACTTTTCATAAATTTATATTTTGATATATAACCATATCAATTACACCAAACAATCAATTTATTTTCAATACATTTTTTCTTATTACCTTCAATATTTATAATGGCTTTAATAATATTCTTCAATATCAGCTACAAATTATATACTAAATGGTTTTACATTTACTAAAGAGTATGTAACTGATACTTTATTTTTACTATTTTTCTTATTTGCTGTCACATAAAGTTTATGTAAAGTCAACAATTTCCTTTTATTTTCCCTATAGGGTATTCGAATTTCGTTGCTTAATCTATGATTTCTCATTTTGTATGGCTCGAACGCGCGTCGGAAACTCGGGCTGCTTCTGCAGCTTTTGTGTTGCATAAAAATTAAAATTTATGCCAGGCAACTTGTGCAAAGCACTGCAAATGCCATTGTTTTTCATTCCCCATTCCCCACCCCCTGCCGACGCCACTGATGATGTTTTTTTGGCGGCGGAAGGACATTCACGTTCTGGGTGGCTGCATTCTACCACCCCAAACCGCCCCCCTCTCACTTCTGCCTCCTTGTCAAGCCCACTTACATTCAATTCATTCATCTCCGGCAGAAAAATGAAAATAAAAGCCCCTAAAGCCTCCCAAAAACCCCCTCCCTCAGCCAGGCCATCGTAATTGCAGAGCAATTATACATACTTCCATCGACAAGACGGATTCGTAATTAATAGCACATTAAATTGGGCCACAACAATATTAATTGTTCTGATTGATTTATGCAGGTAATTATCATATTAAGCAACTGAGGGAAATAAATTTTGTCGCAGGGGGCGGGAGGGGGGCTGTGTCCTTTCACTCGAATATTTCGTTACATCAATCAAAACAAGAAACACAAAATATTTAACAGCATGAACTTTGGATAGGTGGGGAGTACAGCCCATCGGATGTAGGATTTTCAAAATCGAGGTGGGAATAGTGTAGGAATGTCCAGAAGGATTTTAGGCCTCAGCATTAAATCATTTACATTACTGCGAAGAACCCCGATCCATCCATTTGAGCTGGTGAATTTTTAAGGGACTCGAGAATTTCACTAGGAGTTTCTGCGATTGCAAGGAACCCCGAAAAATGGAACTCCTGAGGGAGTCCTGATGGGCTTTGGCAATCCCCTGCTGGACATCACATGCACCGTCGAGGACAATGTGATCTTGGAGAAGTACGGCCTGGAAGCGAATGCAGCCATCATTGCCGAGGAGAAGCACGATGCCCTGTTCGACGAGCTGATGAACATGGAGAATGTCATCTATTCAGCGGGGGGAGCCTGTCAAACTCCATGAGAATCTTCCAATGGATCGTGCAAACCCCATTTCGAGCCGTCTTCACCGGCGCCGTGGGCAAGGACAAACTGGGCGATCGCATCGAGAAGAGGGCCAGAGCGGATGGCTTACTAACACTCTACCAGCTGAAGGACGAACTGCCGACAGGTATGACAGCCAGCTTAGTCTTTAAATATAACTTTTAACGTGTGAAGCTAGTATTATCTGCAAAAAATCACCTAAAACTTAAATTTCAATCTCCCTCATTTCTCTTCATCAGGATCTTGCGCGGTGATCATCAATGGCCCGAACCGCTCCTTGGTGGCCAACCTGGGGCCGCCTCGCTCTTCACCGAGGATTGGGTGGACGAGGATGAGAACGAGTGTGCCTTGAGTCGGGCCATGTACTTCTACTTCACGGGCTTCTTTCTGGCCGTCTGCGCACCAGTCGTGGAACGCATCGCAAGAATGTGCTGCGAGTCCAACCGCATAGTGATCCTCAACTTCAGCGCCGTGTTCGTGCTGCAGATGCAGCGGGAGGCACTGTCCAATATCCTTCAGTACGTGGACATCATCATCTGCAACAAGGAAGAGGCCATTGCCTTTGGAGACACCAACGACTGGAAGACGAAGAACGTCTTTGAGATCGGTTCTCGGCTGCAAAAGTTGCCCAAGACCAACGTCCGCCCTCGCTTGGTCATGATCACGGATGCCGTGTGCCCGGTCCTGGTTTTCCAGGAAAACGATCGCATCCTGGAGTACCCGGTGCCCAAAGTGAAACCTGGCGAGGTCTTTGACACGAACGGCTGTGGCGACGCCTTCGTCGGCGGATTCTGGCCATGTACGTCCAGAGGATGCCTTGGACTACTGCATCCGCACGGGTATATTCGCATCCCAGCAGGTCCTAAACGTAGTTGGCGTTCAGATCGACAAACTTCCAAAGTTCAGCGAAAAATGCATATGACAGGGATACCACAAAATGTATCCAGTGTAAACTCAATTAAGACCTCAAATAAATTTAAAAGTTGTAGTCCAGTATCTTTAAACTTTCTGCCCTCCTCATGCCAAACGTAAATGTGTAAAGCCAGGTAAATTCTTAACTTGATTACCAGATTAGCCCTTTCCCACCCATAAGCTATCAATATAATAATTTAAGGCCTCCACCCAGTTCGCCTGTCCTCCGGCACATCCTTTGGCCCACACCTTTCGAGCATATTCATGCCGGCAAGTGTCCTGCGGCTCTTGGGGCTGCCTTTGGCTCCGGGAAAAATAAATACATTTAAATGTATAAAGCTCTACTCGGTTCTCCGTTTTCATTTCTCCTTTCTCCATCCGCCGAGCTGTGGCTCTGGGAGAAGGAGAAAGGCAAACAGAAGTGATGTAAAAATATGCGTTGCATACTTTGCAACGCCAATGTAAATTTCCTTCCCGTCCCGCCGGGAGGGGCTTTGTCTTTCGGGTCCTGGCGTCTGCTGCCTGCCGGCTGTTGACTTTGGCCTGACAAAATATTGCTACCATTTCAGAGTTGAAGACGCAGAGAACGCGTCCGGAGAAGAGAAGCCGGTGCAGCTGGACATGAGCACGTGCCGGGGGACAGTGGTCCAAAGGATGTATTAAGGAGCGCTATATTCTTCTGTTAAGGATCTTACATATTTTAAAGGATTCATTTAGGGTCGGTTTCTCCAGTCCCTGTCAAAGCTCCTAACAGCTATCTTTCCGAAAAAGCTAGACTTATGTTCTAGGGTTGACATATCTTAAAAATGTAATGATTAATTTAGGCCGGTTTCTAGAGTTCCCGTCAAAGTTACAGATAGCTATCTTTCCAAAAATGCTAGAGACCACATAAGCTTGTAAACTTCTCGACTTCATTAATTTATTTTAAAAAAAGAAACAATGACAAAGTCCTTTCAAAATGTTTGAAAAAACTTAATTTACTTAACAGGGGTATTTACCGGCACTCGAGAAAATTCTTTCAAAAAAGTTTAGGATTCTATAAAATAAGACGTAAATGATCTTCATGGTTATTAGAAATGACAGTGATCGCTAGTTCCCAAACAGATTTACATTTTTAGATCGAAAATATTTTTTCCTTAATGAGGCGAGAGATCCTCCCACTGTGCAAAGGATAGTGCTGAATAAAGCGAAGGGCGGGCGGTGAAGTGACTGTCTTCCACTGATTAAAACGATGCGTCCTCGTGACAGCGATTTTTTCTCGTTAAATCCTTAAATGTCGCTTCGTTTATCGTGAGCTTTGTTTTTTAAATTTCCCAGCGTCCGCCTTTCTCTGGGAATCGACTTCGGCTGGCCGCTGGTCGCTGGCAGAGCTCAAGCGATAATTTATGCATATATCCATGGTGATTTATGACATTATCCCTCCCCGCCCGCCCATCTCCAACCCATCCTGTTTGCCCAGTGGCTCAGCAGAGGCTCCTCTTTTCCAGTTCTTCGTTCTGGGACACCGCGCAATTAGCTGTGGGAAAAATGAGCAGCAAACAGCGAGTCAAAAGATTTCCTTTGTCCAAAGTCAAAGTCAAACAACTTAAAGCTGAAACTCCGACTAAGGCCCTCGATTACTTTGCATTCTGCATCCGCAAACTTTTGCGGCTGGCGACCGAAGGAGCGGAACGACTCCAAACGAGCTTGAATCTTGGCGAGAAACTTTTCAGATTTGTCATATGCACATCTCAAAGCTAATATCCTGACACATGGCTCCTCGACCCGAGGGCCACATGAGTTATGAGTTGTGACTTAGGTGAGATCTCCGAGCTCGAGACTCGGAATCCGGGCTGACAGCTTAATTACGGCAGTCAGGGGCCAGATTTTGCACTCAGCTTCGGGCGGGATTTTAATTAACTGGGTCGGGGATTTATGAAAACCTTTGTAGGCCTCAAATACCAGCTTAATTTATTGGCCGAGTCTCGGTTCAGTGAACAACGAAAGCTCAAATATCAAAATAATTCTGTGTAATTCTGGATAATTCGGAAACCTGTTAGCCATGTTTTGCTCGAGGAAACAGAACTTAAAAGTTTTAATTTTTCCTTGGACCGAGGGCTAATTTATGCCATTAAGTGATTTAATTTGATTAGGCTGAACACAACACAAGACAGACAAAAGACGGGAATTAGAAGCCAAATCGAGAGAAGAACCGAGGTAAAGAGCCCCCTGGCAAATGGCACTTGTCATGTTCGTATAATTGCGTCTGACCTCGGGTTCGCAGATGAAAACTAGACAGCGAATGGAGAGGGGGACAACTTGGGGCAGACAACAAACAAACAAACACGCATGACGTGGAGAGATGCTCATAAAAATCACTCATACGCAATGGGGGACAGCGGCAGCAATAGGAAGCTCCCTGCTCGCAGGACAAGTTTCAAATGCTACTTGTAACTTTGTTACAACAGCCAGCGAGCAGTAAATGTTGAAAGTTCCCCACGCCGTGTTTGCACTGCGAATGGGGAAAGTTTCTTTTTCTGTGTTTTATACTTTGTAGCCAGCCAACTGTCGGCCAATGCCAATGTCTCGTCATGAACCCTTTTGTAACCCTCTGAACCCATTTCCCGAGCTAGTTTCCCACTCATTTCTCAGTCAGTCAGTGGAGACATTGTTCCAAAGCCACAATCTCACAATAAGTTATTTTGCACGGCAAGAAAAATAACAGCTAATTCGGTTGTCTAATATAAACGAGAAATTTTATATCAGAACTTTATTTCTATATCTTCAACGCCCAAAATACATTATGATAAACATAAAGCATAAGTTCGATTTCACTTTCAGATCAATTTAAATGTTTTATTTTTTAATACTGGTTCCAAAATATTTTTGAAACATATTATTTTTAATAATTTAATAATATTTTTTTAAAACAATTTAAATCTTCTTTTAAGATGGGATATTTTAAAGTAATCTGTTCACCGTTAAGAAGATCTGAAGATTGATCTTGAGATCAACATACTAAACTTATAGCTTTAGTACTAACTATATTAGGTCTGAAAATCATAGAACCTCTTAGGTCCGAAAAGGGATATTTATTATTTATTTTATGTTTACCAATGAACTATTATTTTTTCCCAGTGCACCCCGTCTCAAGTGCTGATTGCCAATGCCATTGTGCGTGTTGTTCTGCTCTGTTTGTTGTCTGCTGGGGGTTTCAACAGCAACTACATACACATGTGGATGAGCTTGTGGATTATGTGAAATTATCGAAGATTTCCGGAATAATGGCGAGTCGTGTCTCCTGCTAATGCCCGACATGGTTTCGGCTGGGAGCAATCATTCTGTCGACCCGAATCAATGGAATTAAGCTGAAAGCATTTTCATTATATGTCGCAGCCACATGGCCAACATTAATTGGCAACTTAAGGAGCAGAACAAAACTCTTAGATTGCATTAAAAGCGTATTTTGCGTATTTTAAAGAACTTTAAGTTTGTTCGCTGGTCTTGCAGTTCCATTCCCCCGAGCAGCATCAATTGCAAAATGTCTGAGTCATTTGCATAGAGTTATTCCAGGGTTTTGTGGAGGGCGGGCTGCCTGAGTGGTGGTAAAAGTTTTATGTTAGCTACGAAGAACGATAATTTGCAGCAGTTACAATATTTCATGGAATATCTCTTGGCTTTCTCTTCTTCTTTTCCGTTTCTTTTTCAGCCACAAAACTTCAATAAAGTAGCAGCAATAAAAAGCGAAAAAGATTTTTCCTTTGCTTTATGGTGGGATCAATATTTTGACAACCGCAAAGTAACACAAATAATGAACAAATTCTCATTCTCTTTGTGGCCATCCATATTTTCCTGTGACAAATGTCGCAGACTGGAAATTTGTCAATTGAATAAATTGTGCTCAATATATATATGTGAAATATATACATAAATAAATATGCAATGCGACTTGCAATTGTTTGATTGGGTTCAGGAGTTCCTTCAACTGCTGCTTTTTGTGGCCACTCAACGCTAATGGACTTTAAAGTGTGTTCTCAAGCGTTCATTGCCAGAAACCGCCCCAAAGACCGACATATCTAAAAAGTTTCTTCGGAATTCGAAATTCCTCTCGGCCTGCATTGTTGTCGCACATATTACATATCACGCATACGCCCCGTTGCAGTGGCAAACTGGACCAAAAAACGAAGGGAGCTCCTTGGCCCAGATCCAAATCCCGAGTCCCTAGGAATAGCTGATCCAGGAGCAGCTGGCCCAATAATGAACTGCCAGCCAAGAGCAACACCAACCCAATCACAATTACACTCCGCAACAAAAAGTCTTCGGTGGCCCATTGTCTTTGTTTTTCCAATTTCGCAAATGGCCCTCATGCATGTGCGAATGGCTGTGTGTTAATTAGCAATATCAAGAGCACTTAAATTTGGTACAGATTATAACACCAAAAGTTTCTCCTTCCCACCCAGATTGTCCGGATTGTGCGGATTGTGTGCTCTTTGTTCTGGCATCGAGTTCAATTCTCAAGTTGCTCATTTCGGGAGCTGGCTGATTGTGTTTGCGGCCGAGTCGGCTATTCGATTGCCAAGTTTTTGGCCATTTTTGCAGCAGCTGAAAATAGTTGGCTGTGGGCTAAAGATTTGAACTCTGCTCTGAACAATTCCGTGGGAATGCGAATGGTAGTGAGCATTTGAATAATTCCACACTGGGCCACTTCAAAGGCTTGACCAACTCGCTCAGCTCGGCACAGCTCATTTAAACTGCATCAGGCCAGAAGAAATGCCTGAATCCAAATCCAACCATCAAAAAGGCATTACCGCAGTGAGAGCTTAAAAAAGTAAGAGTGAGACGAAGCCAGCAAAGAAAACTAAATGCACATTTAACAATAAATGAGCAACGTTTTCGGAAATTAACTTTCAACAACATGTGTTGAAATGCATTTATCTTCCGCACCCATAACGAGAGTCCCAGCAAAACTCAGTTTAGCAGGATGAAAAAGGGGTAGGATGGCACTAAATAGAGGTGGAAATTAATTTGAGC